GTCACCAGAACTGACACAGGGGAACTGGAGACTGAAGTATATCACAAGCCAACCCACACAGATCGATTTCTCAGTTCCACAAGCTACAACCCACAACTCACTGCCTTCTCGTGGCGGGGGTATTGTTTGCGAAAATGAGAGGACGGAAACCAAATGTCCGGCGCTTTAACCGGATCCCTAACTAATGGTGCACATGGGCTGGCTCCAGTATCCTGCGGGAACAAATGGTGTATGAACCAATCGTTGGTCACCGGCTTCCATGGGACTGCATCTCCTTACGATGCTCCACTGCCTTGTGGATCAGACCTTCATGTCGAAGGCTTGGGGTGTGGTCCCCTAAGAAAACCACCTTCTTCAGTTTGGGCACCCGGGCAGTATCACAGCCCTCACACAAATCAAATGAGATCTGTGTAGTGCATATGTATTTGGTGCCTACTTTTACCAATATCTATGTGCTAAAATAAATAAATATTTGATCTGTTAATTTATCATAATGTTTAGATGTCGGAATTTACTCATTTTCTCTATATATACTATTGAGTTTTAAATAATTATACTATTTAGATTAATTATATTTTTTGTTGTTGTTTATTATATAATAAAGGTACGTAGAATTGTTCAAGGTTGCATCTATGACAATATACATCCAGCTTATTCTATTAAAAGATTACTTATCATAAAAAAACTTTCTATGGATCCTACAAAACAAAATATATCGTGGGATCGATTTTTGCCTAAAATGAAAAAGAAAGTACTTAGTCGACGTAGAAAACCTCACAAAGTACGTTTATATTAATGTATATATTATGGTTTTAATAGCGAGACTATAATTTATAAACGAACCAATTAGATTTAGAATAACAGGTCTTGGATTTTGGCGCGAAGTTCACTCAATCCATTTGGCTAAATAGCAATTTCACGTTGTAGCTAATGTCAGTTCGTGATGAAAAACCTTGAATCTAATTCTTAACCTATAACCATCAACTGTAAATCACATTGCTTATTCTTCAAACTGCTTTATACAGTGGTCTTGAGTGCTGCTCGGCAGTCCGTTATGTTTTAATTTACGGCAGCGAAACATGGCCATTAAGAGTAGAAGACACTCGTAAGCCACTAGTGCTTGACCACAGATGCCTTATAAATATTGCTGCCGTCTGCTGGGACCACCGGGTAAGTAATAGTGAGGTTAGACGCAGGGTATTAGGGAATAATGGTAAATCAGTTGATGAGGTTGTGAATCTTCATCGACTGAGATGGTTGGGCCACGTGTTGCGTATGCCTGAACATCGATTACCACGACGTGCAATGCTAACCGGTGTTGGAGATGGTTGGAAGAAAGTTAGGGGCGACAAAACCAAAACGTGGCATCAGTCCACAAAGTCACTAACTTGTAGTGTGAGCCATGTTGCTAAATGCAGACTACTTGGTTGGGGTCCGCGTGACTTTCGTAACCAATGGTTGGAGACTCTGTGTGACATGGCTGAGAATTGATCACAATGGCGTAGATGTATACACTCTCTGTCTTCCCTTAAACTAAGAGATTAAAAGCGCTTCATATCTTTCTTTCTACGAACTGATTATATCTTCGTGTACTATATACCACTGAATTAACTACTTCTATGAATCCGGTGTTCATCTTGTTGTGTTAATGAGGTATGGCAACTTGAACCGATGCATATATGTACCTGGTTCTACATTGTAGCTGACTGACTGAAACTGCTTTATAACCCTTATTTAACCGTCGTAAGAAGGTAGACACCCTCAAGGTCACTTTAGCGTCGCTTAAAGGTCGTCCATAAATTATAGATCTCACCATTAAAAAAATATGCCTAATCTCTATTGAGTGTATCATTGATTTAATATATTTTTTTGTTGTTACTGTTTTTACTTTTAGGTACGTAAGAAAAAAGAATATAATCCATTTCCACCACCACCAGTTCAATCAAAAATTGATATTGAACTAGAAAAAGGTACATACTTCTTAGCTGAAGCTGAACGTAAACGATTGAAAGTCGAATCAAATATTGTTAAATCAAATCAAATATCAAAAATACGACAAAAAGCTAAACGTTCCGCTGCACTTATTCCACCTGATGAATGTCACAACAAAAACAATAATAATGATAATAATACCAGTCATAATAAACTGAAAAAGATTAAATTTGAGGAATAAAGATTGGCTTATTGTATATTTCTTAAAATTGTAAATAATATATATCTAGCAAGATGATAATTCTTTTTTATAATTTGTATTACAGGTTAAGATTTACTTACTTACGCCGGCTACTCCTCATGGAGGAGCATAGGCAACCCATCAGAATTCTTAGGCAATCCTTTCTAGTTGTTATTCATCCTTTTCGTAACTGCTTGTATTTCCCGTCGCAATGTGTTCTTTGGCCTTCCTCTTCTCTCCAGGATTCTAAGTTAGGGTTTGCCTCGTAATGCAGTTTGATGATTTCCTCAATGTGTGTCCTATCCACTTCCAATGTCTTTTCCTAATTTCCTCTTCAGATGGAAGCTGATTTGTCCTCTCCCACAGTAGGCTGTTGCTGATGGTATCCGGCCAATGGATGTTGAGTATCTTGTGTAGACAACTATTTATAAATATATGTACCTTTTTGATGATGGTTGTCGTAATTCTCCACGTTTCACCTCCATACAGTAGAACTAACTGTTTTGACATTCGTATTGAAGATTGTGACTTTGATATCGGTTGACAGTTGTTTTGAGTTTCACGTGTTCTTCAATTGTAAGGATGTGGCCCTTGCTTTGCCAATCCTTGCCTTTACGTCTGCATCTGAACCTCTTTGTCCACCGATGATACTTCCCAGACAGGTTAAGACTAAAAGAACATTTTTTATGGGCGTTTATTTTCCTAAATAATGAAGGAACCACCTACCTACCACTTCATTTTTTGTTCGTATTTTCATTAGAAAGCAAACTTTTCTGTGAAATGAAACTTATGAATCAAATTTATAAACTTTCCATTCTATTTTAACACAGAATGGATGTTGTCAAAAGAAAACATTTCTAACGGCCAAAGTGTAATGTTGTAGTGAATAAATAATTTGTGGAGTAGATAATTGACGAAGTCGAACACAATCTCAGAATCGATTGCATGTGATGAATGCATACTATTTATTTATTTTAACACATATATTGGTACAAGGAGGCACCAAATACATATGCGCCACATAAATCTCATTTCATATGGATGAGGGCTGTGATACTGCCCGAGTGCCCAAACAGAAGTAGGCGGTTTTCTTAGTAGGCCACACCCGGAACCTTCGACCTGAAGGTCTGATCCACAAGGCAGTGGAGCAACGTAAGGATATGCAGTAACATAGTAGCCGGCGACCAACAATTAGTTCATACGCTATTTGTTCCTTCAGGATCCTGGAGCCAGCCCATGTGCATCATTGGTTTGGGATGAGGGTTTTCCAACTCCCCTAGGTGGACTCTGTGTCCACCGACCCGGTTAAAGCACCGGACATTTGGTTTTCGTCTTAATTTCGTAGACAACACCCCCGCCACGAGAAGGTAGTGAGTAGGACTTCCCTGGCGGAGGATATATACGCGTGTCCATGTCCATTTATTTGAACACATAAATATTGGTACAAAGGGTCACCGAATACATATACGCCACACAAGTCACTTGATTTGTGTGTCAGCTGTGATACTGCCCGGGTTCACAGACCAAAGTAGGTGGAGAAACGCAGATATAACGAATTACAATATTAGTCAATGCTTTTCTTTTACCAGTGATGTTTTAGGACTGATATCATCTCATTTATAAGTGCTAAGAGGATTTATATCAGATGAAAATATGCAATATATCATTTAGAAGTTTCCCAGAGTAAAACTAATTACTGAACCAAATCAAGCCCGGTCGATAAACACATATTTCATTGCTGAGTAACTAAAGTACACTCTCTATTAATATATCAGTTTACCAAAATATCCTTTTAATAGTCAAGCTGAATGAACGGTAGATCTTGAATATTTCTGAAATGAAATTACGATCATAGTACATAAACATATTTTGTTTGCATTATCTTTATTCTCATTTATTTGTATGGCTTTATACTACTATAATCCCATTTCTAATATCTGAACGTATGGTATAATGCACGTTGATTTTTTGTGATACCTTAAAGTAACTCACATAAACTAACGTTTATTGTATTTGTTACTATAATTAATTCCTCTTGATTCTTGTAATTTACAGTTTCTGTATATTCCGTAGATCATCGTTTAAACACAATAGGTACCATAGTTGTATGCTGTTAGTTCCCAGTTCAGTTATTTATAATTATTATTGATATTAGACACGGCCACTAGCTGTTATTTACATTATCGTATGTTGTAACCAAACTTTAAGTAATCATTACAAGAAGCCATTCTGGTTCTAGACATACTGACACATTTATCCTCATGAGTTGAGGTTTGTAAACAGTTTATATATGTATGTCATGGAAATCATGAACCGATTGATGGTATAATATAGATTTCTCAACACGAGGTATTACAACAGGTTTCCGTTTCTTATTTCTTGATCGATCTAGACGGTAAATATTGAGTGGTCGCTAGTTAGATATCAGCAGTTCAGGAATCGACATGTCAAGAATGTGTATTCTTTTCAATGCATATCACCAGTTAAAACAATGACTCTGATTGTGCTCTTCTCTAACTTGTACAACGAAACGTTGTGCGAAATTTCACAAACCCAACTGAATAGGTTATAAAACTAATAGACATAATGATCTGTTAAAAACAAACAAGAAAACAGATAACTTGTTGAAATCTTTAGATGACGGGAACGAGTGGCCCAGATATTCGGACAGATCACCTTCCAATACTATCCAGGTAAAACAGTTTCTATGGCGCTTTTATCGATTTTTGTTAATAACCTACAGTTTAAACTAGAAAGTCTTCAAGAAACACATTTCACCTAGTTACTATTCATTGTGAATAGAAGAAAACAAACAAAAAAACCCCGCTTGTTTTTCATAAGTTTATTTACAATATTGACAAATGTCAGAAAAATGTTAATTCATTTATCATTGATCAGTGTTTTTCTTCTTTGAATGGATTGGTAAATAGAGATTATCTTTGTAATTCTTTTTTTACATAAATTGGATCTGGAGTACAATTTGTATGTATACTGGAATCGAAATAGAATCAGATATTTAGATAAATAAGTAAATTTTATTTATTTAAACACATAAACATTGATACAAGGAGGCATCAAACAGATATGTGCCGCATAAATCATTCGATTTGTGTGAGGGCTGTGATACTGCTTGGATGCCCAAACCGAAGCAGGTGGGTTTCTTAGGGGGCTATACACGGAGCCTTCAACCTAAAGGTGTGATCCATAAGGCAGTAGAGCAACGTCAGGAGATACAGTCATATGGTAGCCAGTGACCAACGATTGGTTCATACACCATTATTTCCTTCAGGATCCTGGAGCCAGACCATGTGCACCACTGGTTTGGAATAAGGGTTTTCCAACTCATCTAGGTGGACTCTCCGTGTCCACTAACCCGATTAAAGCGGCGGACATTTGGTTTTCGTCCCCTCAATCTCGTAAAAAACACCCTGACCGAGAGAAGACAGTGAGTAGGACTCCCCTGGTAGTGGTTGTATGCACAGAGCCATGTGAGAGCATTTCGAGACGACTCTCCCCACTCTCGGCCGTACCAGGGCATTTGGGGGCAATAAATAAACACAACTGTCGTTTAATGTATGTTGCATGGTACTTTCCAGTGGCATTAAATCGTGATGAAACGTTTACATTACCAAATACCCTGTTACGGCCAAGGGTGTGGAGAGTCTGTTATCTCTCTCAAATGGCCACGAGTGAACAGCTACTGATAGGAAAATCCTACTCAATGACTTCTCATGACGTGGTTATTATTTACGAAAATGAGAAAACGAAAGGCGAATTTCTGGCGCCTTAACAGGGTCGGTAGATCCACTTAGCGGGGTTGGAAAACCCTGATTTCGAACTAACGGTGCATATAAACTCAAGCATAATGAGGCGACATATGAACCTATTGTTGGTCACAGGCTACCATGAGACTGAATTTCCTAACGTTGCCCAATTACTTTGTAGATTAGACCACTAGGTCAAAGGTTTAGGGGATGGCCCCCTTAGAACGTCAACTGTCTCGGTCAGTGGACCCAGGAAGTATTTCAGACCTCACACAAATCGAATAACAAAATGTGACGCATATATATTTAGTGCCTCTTTGTACCATTCTTTATATATTTAAGTAAGAAAATTTAGTTTCAATCAACAGTTATCATCGACTTTCTATGTTGATATATTGATGACAACAGTGAAATTGTCGAAAAAAATCATAAGTTTGTATAGAGTAAACTAAATTACTTTATGTAACCCAAGATTGTTTCCACTTGTAATTGTACTTCAGTATAGTAAACCTTAGAGAACAGTAATAAAATTATTATTATTACCTCATTAAAATGACAACTTATTGATAGAATCATTCGACTTTTGTTCACTGAAATAGCGTGTTCGAATCATAGATTACCACTTAATTCAGACTAGGCAATTGGGTAGTAGTAACAATAACCCTCGTACAAACAATGTGCATTGAAACCAAGTACATAAACCTCTACTTGGTGAATGAGTCACATCAACGATCCTAGTAACCGGTTGGCAAACCAATCATATTATTATATTCAAGCCTAACCGTGTAGGTGAACACTTGGCAACTTCACAATGAATGATTATGTCAACTAATAATAATTTGTGCACATGATTCTTCATTGAATGTGCAATAATGTTTCATCCAAAACCGATCAATATAGTAAACTGATCCATCCCAAATGATCTGAGTAGAGATTCAATCAACTAGCGATCATCTGATATTAAATAAATGCATCAATTAACATATTCAATCACATCAATATTCAGTTGTTAGTAAATAAGGGAATGAAGACCATTTTGAGAGTATTATTTTGTACTTAGAGCCCGTCAAACCAAGACGTGGTCCCAATCTGTAAAGTCATTGAGAATTGGACTGAGATATGTAAGTTAACGAGTGTAGACTATCTGGCTGGGGTCCGCGTAATTGTTCTAACCAATGGTTGAAAACTTTGAATGACATGGCTCAAAATCGTTCGCGATGGGGCAGGTGCGTTCACCGTTTATCTTCCTTTAAATCTTGGGTTCTTGAATCTCATCATTCATTTTTTTCTACACCTAATCTTACCCATTACTACTGATACTGGTTAATACTTCTACCAATTTGGGATTTGTCTGATATAACAACTTGAATCGATATACATATGTGTCCGGTTCTACGTTGCGTACGTCTGACTGACTATCAACAGAAGCCGTCTAACAGTCATTACACTAATAATCTGTTCGATTTAGGCTACGCATCAGAGAAGCAAATAATAACTATGGTAGCTGAAATATAGTTTAAATCAGTTGATTACTTAGTCATATCTCTCTGGTCTATAATACTAATGGGATCGTATAGAGCAAGCTGTAGTGTGTACAGTAGTTTAAGCGACTTAATATTGTGTGCACTATGTATGGCTGTTAATTGCTTAGAAGTGATCAAATGTAAGGTATTTAAACCCAGACTTGATGCTATTCAGCACTCGGTTGTAATCTTAAAGCAACTGATATTCGTTGTAGGCGTTGAACCCACCTCACTCAAGGTGACATAACCAGAGATGTTGACATTCAGTTATTAGGTCTGCTATTGTATGAATGGTTGGTGTTTTGTACTGGGCAGTTAATGATGTAATGTTTGTCTAATCCTTAATTCTGGTCTTATTCAATCAATCGAATCGCAATATGACTAATAGTGCAACAGATTGGTTATCACGTTTACATGTACATCTAAAGGTCTCCTATCGATCGACTTTAGCTACTTAATAATGAACATGCATCTTATTGGATTAGCAGTTATTAAAGAGGTAGTGCAGAAGATTTGTAGCTCAGGTGGATGATTTTGATGGAGTTTTGTTCTCTGAGCTGGATGGTTTGGTCGTGGAGCTTTCATCGCTCTTCTGAACGACATCAGCACAAACTTCATATAAAAGTGAAATGTTCGAATTTCTCCATATATGGCTCACAGCTTATCCTGTAGACCTCGATGTTGATTGGTTCTTCTAGCTGACCTTAAACCTGTCATTGTTTACTTCTTTGTTTTGGTTGTATCTCTCATTAGTATGACTTATATGGAAAATTATGCACAAACATAGGAACAAAAATCAATGGGCATTAGTCTCACTCACTAATTGATTAAAATCATAGATCATATTTTCATGAATATTACAAGGTTCCCAGTTCGACAACATATTTAGTATTGTGTGAGTACGCATTGTTAAAGAAACCGTATTGAACTAACATGAAATAGCTATCTACTTCTTGATAGTTTCAAAATGTTCTCCCAACTAATGAAGTATACTGATTTGTAATGAAAAGCGAATAAACAAATTTTCAAGTAAAGTTTTCCACTATTTTATCACTGATAACCAATACAGAATTTTAATCAGTCTTACAGTTTTACAGAATAGATGAGTTGCGCTTTTTCTAGTACTGGGGAATCCAGGATATGCACATTTTGTCTTATATGAGAATCGTTAGTTGAATTGTTATTGTGGTGTGAGCTACTTATATTCATATAAGTAGTATATAACGTGCGTTAAAAGAACGTAATGTCCGGCAGCAGAAGATGGCGAAGATCAAGAAAGGAAGAGCAAGAGCACAATGGAATTGTAAGAAAACGCATGTACAATGGAATGGGAGACAATGGATTAGTGTTTGCAACGGGAACAGTACAGTTTCATATGATGGAATGATATTTTGCAAATTGACGATTGACTTTATGGTATTCACATTTTATTGAGACAGTCTGTAATTTTGTGCTAAAGACAGTCGATTGTCCCCACCCGTGTTCTTGTTCACTACATTATAACCTTGTGGGATACAACATGAATAAACCAGTATCTTAATGTTGATGTTTACATTGGAATAGTAGTCCAGTATACCGTTCACTTCAAAAAGGAACAGCGGATAACGCAAGGATTGACATATACATATTAGACGATGAGTTCCAAGCATTAAAAAAGTGCAAAGCTTGAATCCCACTATCAGCTACAATCTATTAATTCTATAAAACTGTTGAAGAATTTAGTTTTATAGTACTTACCAACTTGTCATTTAATTAAATTAATCTGATTCATCTTCAACACTTGAATCTGATGAATTTTCTTTCAACGAAATTTTTGGACCATTCGATTGTGATAATTTTTTTCTTTCCTCTTTCAACTTTTTACGTTCAGCTTGATGACGTTGACGAATACGTTGTCTCCATAATTTCTTATCTTCTTTATCTATAATTTCATGTAATAAACGACGTTCTTGATCAATGTTTAATGTTTCATTTGATGTAATTGTTGTCTCAATTTGATTATCAATAGGTATTGGAGGTTTAGCAACAGGGATATCACCGATTTTCTCGCATATTACCTGAAAGAAAGAAGTAAAAGTAATTAACTGATTGATTCATTGTGAGAATGCTAAGATTTTAGATGGTTAGAGGCATATGACAAGACACCCTTGATCTATGTTTCATTTTTGTTTATTTATTTAAACATATAAACATTGGAACAAGGGGGCATCAAATAGATATGTGCCACATAAATTATTCCATTTCTGTGAGGGCTGGAATACTGCCCAGGTTCCCAAACAGAAGCAGGTCGTTTTTCTTAGGGGGTCACACCTGGAACCTTCTACCTAAACGTCTGATCCAAAAGGCAGTAAAGCATCGTAAGGAGATGCATTCCCATGGTAGCCAGTGACCAACGATTGGTTCATACGCCCTTTGTTCCCTTTGGATACTACAGCTCATGTACACCACTGGTTTGAATTCAAGGTTTTCTAACTCACACAGGTGGACTCTCCGTGTCCATCAACCCACTTAAAGGGCCGTACATTCAGTTTTCGTCCTCTCAATTTCGTAAACAACACCCTCACCGAGAGAAGGAATTGAGTAGGACTTGCCTGGTAGTGGTTATATGCACGTGGCCATGTGAGAGCATTTCAAGATGGAGAGCTGACTGTCCCTCACTCTCGGATGTACCAGAGCATTTGTGGATATTTACAGAGTTGAAGGAACAGGTACTTCCTATGATATTCGAATCGACATTTCCCAGCTTTAGTGTATGAAATATTACCATTCAGCTATTCAGACGGTAGTTGACCTTCTAACGGATAAGTTTAATTCATTGATAACACAAATTTCTTGAGTAGACAGACAAAAGATGACCGAGAAAACATTATTTTTCAATTCATTTGTCGTTATGGTTCTAAATAAAACTGATATTACATATATAACTGATAGTAATCAAATCTATACAATGTGTTAATCAATAGTATTATTACTAATATCAGAATTATTTTGCGAGAATATGACAATGACTACTGAGTCACATGAATAATGATAAACTACACTTGGTATGTAGTAAAGAAGTATTATTTCTAGAAAAACAACATTCATTATATATACGAAGTTGCGCCACAGTACACCATTGATATCTCACAACAATGAAATTTCTAAAATCTCCACAAAACCCCTTCTGATAATAATCATCTTCTCACTAGTGACTGACTTCATGAGATACTCTTGGAGTTCTAGTGAGAAGCCGTTACCAGTGGAGTTCAACTAGGTCTGTTGTGAGATAATAGTGAACGGTGGCGCAACTTCTTGAATTGGTGTAAGTTAGACATTAACAGCGTTGGATGCCGGCTCAGTGGTCTAGTTGGTTAAGCGCCTGGCACGAGACTGATAAGTCCTGGGTTCGAATTTCACAGGGAGTCGGATCGTGGATGCGCGTTGCTGAGGTGTCCCATACTAGGACGAAACGACCGTCCAGTGCTTCCAGGTTTTCAGTAGTGGTCTAGCTTCAATTGACTCATGATCTTAACTATTAAAATGACTATAATATCCACAAAATCCCTTTTGAAATTAAAGAAGTGGTTGAGTCAATGTGACCCATAGAACATATCATCATAAAACGATATTTTTAATGGGAAAATTATAGAACAAACATATATATATATCCACATAAAAGAGCACTTTCAAGAGAAACAGACACACACACACACACACAAACACAGATGCTTACATGACCTTCATCGTCGAATTCTAATTTTCGATGAGACCGAATCTTTTGTTTTAATTCTTTCTTTGCTAATTGAATACGACTTAATTTTTTCTAGAGAAAAAAAAGAGAAAAAAAGTAGATTATGTAAACAAATACTTAATAACAATCCCACGTTTGAGCAATATATTAAAACGTCTAAATGATATCTGTAGTGATATCGTGTTATGGATAGGTAGATCTATCCATAAACAGGGATTATAACATACCGTTTTATAATCCAGAACTTATACAATATTAAATGAGTAATTCTTCAGTTAAAACCCTCTATGCTATACAACTCCTAAAGACTGATGTGTTGGCATACAGACCAGTTTGGAAAAGCCACTCATACATTTATTTACACATAACAATCTCCTTCGGTGATTCAAATAGTTTTACAATCCCCCGTTTTCTATAAAAAGTAGTTATTGTCCAATTTCAATGTAGGCTAGGTTACTGTTTAAGGGCCCAAATTGAAACAGGTGGTTTTCTTAGGAGGTTACTCCCCGAGCCTCTAATCTAGAGTTTTAATCCACAAGGTAGTGGAGCAACGTCAGGACATGCAGTCACATGATATTCGGTGGTCAACAATATATTCATACGCACCACTGTTTTGGAATCAGGGTTTTTCAACTCCCCTAGGGAGATCCTCCATGCCCAATAATCGAGTTTAAGGACCGAATATTTCCTGTTCTTGCTCTCAATTTCGAAAACAATACCCCTGACATGAGAAAACATCGAGTAGTATTTCCCTGACAGTTTCTGTATACGCATGGCCATATGAGAGCATTTTGAGAGGGATAACAGACTTTCCACACCCTCAGCCGTATTAGGCTGGACGATACTTGAACGTTGTATGAGAATTTAAATAACAGTGTTGGTGAGCTTTAGTAAGTAGACTATTTATCTTACCAAAATGTCGTCATGGAATTTAACAGTTAGTCTCTCTCTATTTGTATATACACAAGAATTATAAGTGCTTTATAAATGGGTTCGTACTATTTTTTTGCATACCAGTTGGAGATAGTCACTGATCTGGACTATAACACAAAGTCAATCTTCAGTCAGTTAACTAGCTTCCGGGGACTACATTAAAAATTACTTAAGTACAAAAGATGATTAAAGACTATAATATCAAGTATTTCATTAATTTGAATAAAAGGTTACTAAAAAAACAGTTCCGCACTATTCAATTACAATTGTACATTCATTTTACATCTGAATTCCAAACATTAAACGATCACTGAGATTTAGACAACGCAGACATTGACCACTAATCAGTCAACCAGTCAGTAACAACGTAGAACTTCGTGCGTACGTACATTAGTTCGAATTGCCACACCACATTAGCACAGAGATGCAGTGGTCGATTCAAATCCTGTAGTGCTAGATGTAATAAAATTATTCATTCGTTGGCCACTAATGAACGCAACTAATCGACAATCAAACACACACTCAATTGTAACTAGACGATTTATAATAGTAATGATTGAATGACAGTATAGTTTTCAGCCTTTTAAATAGGTTACAGATATATATCAGTGATGGAAGTTAGGATGGAGGAAACATGAACCGATCAATAAAATAACCATCTCTAATGGACATTTAAAGGATTCACAATACAAGTAGTCATACTTCATTAAGTTAAGATTAATATAAAAATAAACAAACAAACCAGAAGGTAGAACTACATACCAATTTATTTACAGATTTCCTACTGTGTTGATCATCTTCTATTGTATCATCATCTGTACTTGTATCTTGAACAAGATCTAGACGTTTTAATTTAATTTCATTCGGCATAACATTGAATGAAGATTTTTTAATCAATAAATTATCATCACTATCCATATTAATATCATTTTCATCAACATTATTATCAGTGTTTGATGTTATCAACTGTGTTGAATGAGGTAAATCCATCTTCATTGAACTGAACACGTTATCAGTAGTAGCAGTAGTAGTCGATAATTGATTGACATTATCATCAGATAAATTTGATATAACTGATGGGAAAGATTTAATCAATTTAACTGAATCTGGAACAAGTTGAATGTATTCTTTTGGAAGTGATGATATGAATGGTAAACCTGTATATAGGTATAGGATAAATGAATTAATTTATTAAGATATTACATATGAACTCATAATCATAAGTAGTGTTAATGAGGATTGGAGCTGTTGAGCTTTAAAGTAAAGATGCTGATATTTTGGCGTTAATTATTGTTTATGAAACAGTAGTAGTAAAAGTATGACCTGGGACAATTTGGGATGAAGAGTCTCTTATCACTTTCTAAATGCACTTATACAGTCATGTGTTTATCGTCTACTCTATAGAAGTCCTACTCACTACATTCACGTCGCCGGGTGTTTTTATAAGAGTGAAACAGCGAATTGAACATTGGTCTTATAACCTGGGTTGGTGAACACTGATACCAAACAACAGTGGGTGTGATGTAAGTAAAGGGGCAAGAATCTATAATAGTCACTGGATAGCAAGACATTATATGACTTGACATTGCTCTCGTGTCTCTTGGTTCAGACCTTTACATTAAATGCTTTGAGCGTTAGTACCTAGGAGAGCCACCTGCTTAAGGTTATAATTCCCGGGAAGTATACTAGTCCTCAGAGAAATAACTAGGAGCACCAACGAAAAATCATAAACAATTACTTGTGATACATCGTCATACGTTTATGCATTTTGATGCACTTCTATTCACTTTAGTTTACATACGTAGAAATTTCTCATGCATATAAGAACTATGAAAAAAAATCGACTGAATATCTTAATTTATAATCTTAAACATATGAGTATAACACGTATTCACTTGTTCATATGTTTGTAGCATTACGCATGTATAGTGAAATAGTCGAACAGGGTACGCTCAGATTGCCCCCAAATGCCCTAGTACGGCCGAGAGTGGGGCGAGTCAGCTCTCCCTCTCCAAATGCTCTCATATGGACACGCGTATATACCCTCTGTCAGGGAAGTTCTACTCACTTCCTTCTCGCACTACGGGTGTTGTTTACGAAATTGAGAGGATGAAAAGCGAATGTCCGGTGTTTTAACCGGGTTAGTGGACACGGAGAGTCCACCTGTAGGAATTGAATAACCCTAATTCTAAACCAATGGTACACATGGACTCCAGTATCCTGAGGGAACAAATGGCGTATGAACCAATCGTTGGTCACCAGCTACCATGTGACTACATCTCCTTACGATGCTCCACTGCCTTCCGGATCAGACCTTTGGGTCGAAGGCTCCAGGCGTGACCCTCTAAGAAAACCACCTGCTTTTGTTTGGGCAGCCGGGCAGTGTCCCAGCCCTCACACAAATCAAATGAGATTTATGTGGCGCATATTTATCTGGTACCCCCTTGTACCAGTATTTATGTGTTCAAATAAATAAATAAATAAAACGTTCAGGTTAGACATGCAGTGGAAAATAACCTGAGTTGATCAGATGATGAGATTGTGAAAATTTGTCGAATTAGATCGCTGAAATGTATTTTATTGACTATCAGTAGACGACAAAAGCAATTAACTAGTGTTTATTTACATTATTAATGTTATATTTCAAACGCTGTGACAATCAATGAATCGCAAAACCCTTTGTTACACTGCTGGACACAAATGGATATAACAATTATCTAACATTCTTTTCTCTTTGCGTCAATTCCATCCAAATCTACACCATTCAACTTCATCCTGAAAAAATATTGAAATCACTTTATTACGCTCAAATTAAGTTATTTATCCAGGAACTGATTACAACCCTTACCCCTCTCTATCCATTGACAAGTGGACTGAGGCACGCTAATAGGTGCAGACAACTAGGTTGGGGTCCGCATGATTATCGTAACCAGTGGTTAGAGACTTTCAATGACACGGCTGAAAATCATTCGCAATGGAGCAAGTGGATTGATTGTTTGTCTTCCCTCAGATTCTAAGCTTCCGAAGTATTTTTCATCTCATGAATTTATGTTATCTCGAATCGTATCTTCGATGACTAGTCTTTTCAATCATCACTTATATTGTACCTACCTCCACTACTTTTTAATTTGCTCTGACAATTGCATTTCTCTGTGCAAATGGAGTATAACAACTTAAACTGATGTATATACATACATACCAGGTCCTAGGTTATGTTTAACTTGATTCACTGGTCACCTCTATACAATTCGAAGCTAGTTACTAGTATCAGTTCTTTTTTACTGATTTACTTGGCTTTGAGTAATACTGTGTATGAACACTAATCATAATAAGTCGATTAGATTACCATTATTCTTTACAACAAATTTGAAATGAATGATTACAAAAGTGAATTAACACTTTACTTACCAAGTGAATTAGCAAATTTTTCTACAGGTAGATCTTTTGCATTGAACACATTCAATAATTCATTAGATTGTTGTTGTTGTTGTTTTTGTTTAGTTGGATTTCGTCTAGCCATTAAACAATAATCGCGTAGATAAGCAGTGAATGCTAATCGTGCTGATTGAGTTAATTCCAGTTTACGTGCTAATAAACTTGATGATTCTTTAGAAACTCTTCGTTGTAACTTTGATTCAGGAAATCTATACAGTAATAATAATAATAATACTAAATTAATTACTAAGCATTTGTGAAGCATGAATAATAGACAGTGAGGAACGGACGAGAAACATTTGATTTTGTGGCTTTGAATTTTCCCACTTGAGGTCAACGTAGAACCCATAACATATTAGTTTGTTGGACCCAGTTTCGATCTCATAATAACACAATGAAATGAAATGCAAAAAATGTAATAATAATAAGGTTGTTGAATGCGCATATATTTGCAAATCTATCTCAATTTTCTTTTCTCTCTCCCAGTCCATGTCGTCCCATGACATTTTCATATCCGGTGTTGTCCATTCCGATCTTGGAGTTTATATTTCCCATCAGGATGGTGAGGTTCTTAATTGGGCACTTCGAGGTGGTTGATTGCAGCCTCTCATAGAACTGATCTTTATTGTCGTCGTTGTCACCATTAGTGGGTGCATAACATTCATTGTGATCCCCTTGTTTTTTTTGTTTTGAATGATACTTTGATGATTCTGGATCCGTGAGATCTTTATCCAACAAGGGTTGGATGGAGAGTGCTGGTGGGCGGACTATGCTCCTCCACGAGGAGTAACAGGATTAAGTAAGTAAGTAAGAATGACTGAACGAATAGAATATAATACGAAAAGACAGTGGAAAATATGTATGAAAGTTTACTGAAAGCAAAGAACGAAAGAAAGTTAAAGTGTGAATGCATCTATTTCATTGTGAACGGTTCTTAACCAATGTGAACTAAAATTCTCAACTGCCGATAATGATTATGGCACAAATCTCAAATAAGTCGTCTGGATATCCTAATATGACTCAGACTAACAGTTAGGCACTTTTTTGACTGATGCCATGTGTTAGTTTAGCCGCAATTTAACAAGTGTATACGTGAATTGACTTAAATGTGAATAGAGATAGATGGCAGCTAGCAGTTGAATCCAGGACGCATACTTCGTCCTGTTCCATACTCGCTAGCTGGATGCACCTACATCCCAACGGATAACACGATGACGTTCCAAACGAAAGATAATGGATCCGAGTCCTGCGTTGAGTATCGACTCTGAGATGCAGGTCAAACAAAGAGAGGCTACAGATATGTGATGGGTAGGACAAGGAATTTACACATATACGCTCATATAAAAATAGTCAGGGTTAATAATACTAATAATAATTGCCAAGGTCAAAATGTAACTCTAGAAGCTAGAATAACCCATGTGAACTTGACATGGTACTACACACTATAGTGTAATTTTCATAATGAATCGACTCCCTTTGTAATGCATACTTGCTTATTCTACTCGAAATGGAGTCCATGACCTTGAATTCCCATAGTCAGGTAAATTTTATTGAGAAGCTATGATTCTCGGAGGTAGTCACCTAGAAAAGTGGTCAATACTAAATACAAGAATGATGTTGTATATGTAAGTTATTAAGGTATCGACTCAATAGGTGAACAAATGAATGAATGAATGAAAAATCCTAAAGTGAAGTCGTCTACAGACGAGTTTTATAGAAGACGCTCAAAATGAAATATAATAAAGTATTTTGTCTAATATTATTTAAGGATTGCAATAGTTCCCTAGTTATCAGAATGGGTTTTGTGGAGAGTTTTAGAAATTTCACAGATTCTAGTGAGAAGCCGTTACCAGTGGAGTTCAAACAGGTCTGTTGTGAGATATCAACTCACTGAAGACAATGGTGTACGGTGGCGCAACTTCGTGGATTGGTTGAAGTTAGAAATTAACACCGTTGGATGCCGGCTCAGCGGTCTAGTGGTTAAGTGCTCGCGCGCGAAGCCAGTAGGTCCTGGGTTAGAGCCCCGCGGGGTGCGGGATCGTGGACGCGCACTGCTGAGGAGTCCCATACTAGGACGAAACGGCCGTCCAGTGCTTTCAGGTTTTCCATGGTGGTCTAGCTTCAATCGGCCCATGATTTCAACCTGCGAAAGTTCCCTAGTTGATATGAAGCTTTGGTAAAAATAGAGGAGAAAACTCCTCATCGAATTCAATACACTTAATGATTAAGCTTGAGTAATTAAAGATGAGTATACATTGATACTAACATATAGCTTACTTTACTAATTTTAATACAACAGAATGTTTAGCAAGTATATGAATTAAATTTTGCTCAGATGGTAATAGAAATAAAATTGATCGACCTATTTGTCCATTTCGTCCAGTTCGACCAATACGATGTACATAATCTTCAGTAAAATGCGGACAATCAAATTGTACAACCCAATGGACATTTGGAAAATCTATGAAAAGACAAACAAAAACAACAACTATAACGACGTTGAACAGAATAAAATGAATTTTAATATGGCGAGACTTTAATTTATAGACGAACCAATCAAATTTAAGACAACAGGTTTTGGCGCGAAATTCATTTATCCATTTGTTCAAACAGCATTTTTGCATTACAAAACGGTGAAAACATTAAATCTAATCCTTAGCCCTAACGTTCAACTTTAAATCCTAATTCCTCTTATTAATATATAACCGTCACTTAACCATAGTAAGTAGGTGGACATTCTAAGGTCATTTTAGTGTTTCTCAAGGGTCGTTCATAAATTATAGGTCCCACTGAATTAACAATGAATGTTATGAGATATATTTCATGGTACAAATATCATATACAATGTGATTCATTGAACTCGTAGGAAATAATAACATATTTGTAAAATAAGAAGCATAAATTCAAGTTACTGAGGTAAAATATCTTTAGAGTATTTGAAGATCAACTGGATGACGTATATTTTTATTTATTTATTTGAACACATAAATACTGGTACAAGGGGGTACCAGATAAATATGCGCCACATAAATCTCATTTGATTTGTGTGAGGGCTGGGACACTGCCCGGCTGCCCAAACAAAAGCAGGTGGTTTTCTTAGAGGGTCACGCCTGGAGCCTTCGACCCAAAGGTCTGATCCGGAAGGCAGTGGAGCATCGTAAGGAGATGCAGTTCCATGATAGCCGGTGACCGACAATTGGTTCATACGCCATTCGTTCCTTCAGGATACTGGAGTCCATGTGTACCATTGGCTTGGAATTAGGGTTATTCAATTCCTACAGGTGGACTCTCCGTGTCCACTAACCCGGTTAAAACACCGGACATTCGCTTTTCATCCTCTCAATTTGACAAACAACACCCGTGGTGCGAGAATGCAGTGAGTAGGACTTCGCTGACATTTTCTATATACGCGTGTCCATATGAGAGCATTTGGAGAGGGAGAGCGTACTCTCCCCATTCTCGGCCGTATCAGGGCATTTGGGAGCAATCCACGGCTAAATAAATATCTCTGCATGAGAATGAAAGATTGTTGTGCAATATTATGAATGGATTAATATTAGAAATATAAACATCTAATTGTTAATTTAATGATTTAAAGTTTATAAATGATCGCTTTTTGCGAATTCTATAAGTTATGAATTCAATCTTAAATAGGATGATGCATCTTAATAATAAGCAATACCATACCAGAACAAAATAACCATTGATTACCTTTTGGTTTTTATATCATTTTCCAATATATATATGAATTAATAAAATTCAGTGAACAATAAGAACAATAAAGAATGAATTCAGAACAATTAACATCGTTCTTCTGAACAATATCATCAACACAAACTTCTACCGTCAACTTCATAGATGAGTAAGATTTGTGAAATTGTGATTGACTTGTAAATATTTGACGTAAGAAAGATAATTTGAATTATTTTTTTTCGGTTAGCGTTTTTTTAGAGAGTTAGTTTTCTACGGGACATGGTCGCTAACCCCATACCCAACCCTCCTCCTATATCGGGCTTGGGACCGCCAGTCGCCTCAGGCGGAGTTTCCTAAGAAGGATAGCCGTTAATATTTAGAAGACATATATAGGGAAATTGAAATTTCGCTCAAACAAATTAAGTGAAATACTCAACCATATCTATATTGAGATGTTAGTTAGTGTTTGAAGAAAATAACATGATAAACATACACGTACATATATGTATATCATTAATATCTTAAAGCATATTGTACTTACCTAAACCTCGTTCAGCTAAATTAGTAGCTAACAGAACGGAACCATGTGGAGAATTAGCAAAGCGATCATAAACTTGAAAACGTTTTTGTTGATTCATATTACCACGAAGTTGTAAAATTTTAAAATATGGTCTAAGCAATTGAAATAATTCATATGCATATCGAACCTTAATATATAGAAATAGCAAAAACAAATAAACAATTAGTGCATAGTTAGGGGTGGCCAAACCAAAACGTGACACCATTGCTTGAGGTCACTAACTTCTGGTCTGAGCCATGCTGGTAGATGCAAACTACCTGGTTGGGGTTCGCGTGACTACCGTAACTAATGGTCGAAGACTGGATGACATGGTTCAGAATCGATCACAAGTACGCGTAGGTGTATACACTCTTTATCTTCCCTTAAACCATGAGATTAAAATTACTTTATACCTATTTTTCTAGTTCTCTCTTCCTATACTATATCCTTATATGCAATCTTTCTTTTATATATTACTACCATTGAAGTAACTACTTTCATGAATTTAATGTTCATTTTGTTGTGTTGATGAGGTATGGCAACTTGGACCGATGCATATATATGCCTGGTCCTACGTTGTAGCTGACTGACCATTACCTTGATTAGTTTGTGCTTATTCCTAAAGTTTATTGATCGGGGACTGGAATCTCATAAAGAATGTAGATGTAACAATTATATCCTAATTATATGTGCCTGGTCCTATGTTGTAGCTGACTCACTGAAATTAGTCCACTCAGTGTTCAATATCTTTCAATGTGTGAACGTTCCAGTGTGAATTTAAACTGAAATTGAGTTACATAGGTACATTATATCTTGAAGATTGTTTATAATGATCAATTTGAATAGTATTTAATGTTGGAAAGGTTATTGAAACTTTCCAATTGCCCCTTTTAGTAAAAGCCAATATCCTTTTGTGAGACAAGAAAAAAGGAACTGGATTAGCATTGAAGGTCTTTTCGATTTAACAGTGACTAAAAAGTCTAAGAGGTAACGCCTTGAGACACGTAATGCATAAATTTTGGGTAAATGATTATTTTTGCAGTATTAGATCCATACTTTCTAAAACTTGCCGCAGGGACCTCAAATTCGTGAAAAAGTGAAGTGTGTACTATTTTAAGAGCTGACATTTTCTAGAGGTTAGGGGTTCATGAACGAAACCGAATGTTTTGATTTCAATGAGATTTTCTAATCTATTTTTTCCTTGGTAGGAAGGCAACAACGTTGAAGATACTATTTGCCCGTGGTGAATACCTGACTTCTGCTGAACCCTAGTACAGTAAGTGATATGATTTCGCCTCTGGACCTTAACTTCAGAGAATAGTTAAAAATCTCATCCTGACTTAAAGTAGACGCTATTGATGTTATTTAAAAACGACAATTATAGTTTTGTAATTCATCTATCCAGCTCAGAGAATGCAATACCACCCAAGATATCAACTTAAAATATGTATGAAACTTCTCTATCATTTTAAAATTTTACGAGATTGTTTATTGTCAGACAAGGTTTACATTTCCTTGAAAATAGTAAATTGCAGATAAATTTATTAACACCCTCTATAATGAACTCAAAAAGTAATATACAGTAATATCGACAATGATATGTTTGCAATGATGGATATCATTTTACATAATTGCACAGCCCCGAAATGCCCTGATACGGCCGAAAAAGGGGAGAGTCATTTCTCCTTCTCCAAATGCTCTCACATGGACACGCGTATATAGCCTCTGTCAGGAAAGTCCTAATCACTGCATTCTCGCACCACGGGTGTTGTTTGTCAAATTGAGAGGATGAAAAGCAAATGTCCGGTGTTTTAACCGGGTTTAGTGGGCACGAAGAGTTTACCTAGGGGAGTTGGAAAACCCTCATTCCAAACCAACGGTACATATGAACTCCAGGATCCTGAAGGGACAAACGGCATATGAACCAATTGTTGGTCGCCGGCTATCATGGGACTGCATCTCCTTACGATGCCTCATTGTTTTGAGGATCAGACCTTTAGATCGAAGGCTCAGGGTGTGGCCCCCTAAGAAGACGACCTGCTTCGGTCTGGGCACTCAGGCAGTATCAACGCCCTCACACAAATCAAATGAGATTTGTGTGGCGTATATGCATTTGGTGCCACCTTGTACTAGTATTAATGTGTTCAAATAAATAAATAAATACAGACCTGTTATACGCTCTTTTATAGAGAAAATCAAGATACTGACAGTGTTAACTACTGAAAATATATACTAACAAGCACATTTATCATTTATCAGTATACTGATTTGTAGAGGTAGTTTGTTGTGAACATAAAATTGATGGATGACATTTACTAATCGGTAATATACTGTTAACACAAACGAAATATTCATGTAATCTTTTCCGGAAGGAGATATCATATGTAGATGCATGTACACAGAGAACTGGATGTGAAATATTTTGTTAGCAAAAGAATGAAGATACTTTATTGACAGTAAGATGAAACTTGAGTAGTTTTCAGAAGATAACTAAGGTCAGTGTGATATCTACTAGTTGGCCGAATCGTGATCAATGGAGTAAGATAGAATCACATAAAAGTGGTAACCTATGTATACAACATGCTTACTTAGTTAACTGATAAGATTAGAAATTTTTCTAAAAATATAAAAAAGATACTATTTAATTGTGTAAATTACGAAGAGAGTTTTAATCATAAACTGACGTCAGCTAAGGAATCATTGAAAATCAAAATGCAGTGAGTAGTTGTTTCGTTCTATCTTGAGACTCCTAAGAAGTAAGTACTGAAGTACCTAGTTAGTACAACCCTACGAGGAGTTGAAGCCGAGATCGCTAATTCTTGTAACAAGTACGCCATTTCCACACAAGTTAGTCAGAAACAAATCATGACCATTTCAAAATATAGTGAATCTGCGATACAGTGCGACAGTCATTCAATGCCATCATTCATGACTGTCTCATTTAATAGTACTAGAATGGCACGCGCATGCCAAGAGACTTCGAGAAGCTGTTAGACTTGACTTGAAACTTCCGAAACTAGGTAAAAACATTCATCGAATCCCTGTAGTTTCTTAATAGTCCAAAAGCTAGTTACAACCCAGTGTATGAAGTGAAGTCTTCTCATAAGAAAGAAATATCCTGTCACAACTACGATAAAGATTTAAAAAATATAAGTTGACAACAACAGTACACACACACATTGACGAACCTGTTTTTGTGTTGAAAAAAACACGATGATCTTCTTCTTACAATGACTTTGGAGAAATGTCCACAATGTATCCAACTTTTGTTCTAATGGAACTATGGCATAATATTGAAGTAGTTCAGATGGTGTGTGTAATTCATTTGATAAAGTTGTACTATTATTAGTACTGTTAATATTATTATTGACTGATACAGTTATTGGATTACGCATACTAAGACGAATAAGTTGATCTGTAGCCCTATGATAGTTGAGGAAGAAAAAAAAAGGGAAAAGGATCAAAAAACAAGAAAAGTAAAATTAATTTTTTGAAGATACGAAGTAAAACAGAGTAAATTGCTTTATAGTATACACACGTTATTATTACATGAAGAACTCATATACCTAAAAAAAAGGGTTCAAGAGTATTCAGCTGCTTCACCTCCTATCATCAGATTGAGTGTTGATGTAAACTCATGTTTTGAAGTAATATTTTATATTTACATGAAGCAAAAATCATTCGTCAGCAATTTTTTGAACGATACTTAAGTCTTAATAGGAAGGGTAACGACGACTTTCACTCCTTTCTGATTGGTTGTCACTACTTTTAGTCCGTTAATTTTCTAGGTGTTCGAAGGTCATGTTTTTGTTATTATGTAATACTGAGTTGTACTATTTCAAGTTGTCCTGTTTGAAGATCACATTTTTCCTACATGTTTTCTTATTCCTATGTAAGCAGCTAACTGTTAAAATGTTGTGTGCCAGCTACCATTATCGAGTTCATGATAGAACCATCTATGTTAGACTAACCGGAAACCATGTTTGGTGAAGACGCTGATAAAATGCAGTTTTTCGGTAGCACTAAGCAACAATGCCAAAATGTTTGGAATGCGCTTCTCCCCCTCTAAATGCAAGTTGTTGCTTCAGGACTGGTCTGCGTCAACACCTGAACTAAGGATAGGGAGTGAAGTAGTCGAACGCGTTGGCAACTTCACTTATCTAGGAAGTCTGGTCAGCCCTAATGGGTTGGTGTCTGACGAAATCTCAGCACGGATTCGAAAAGCTCGCTTGGCTTTTGCCAACTTACAACACCTATGGTGAAGGCAAGATATCCGTCTATCAATAAAAGGACGAGTATACTGCGCGGCAGTCCGTTCTGTTTTACTTTACGGCAGCGAAACATGGCCATTAAGAGTAGAAGACACTCGTAAGCTACTAGTGCTTGACCACAGATGCCGTAGAAATATTGCTGGCGTCTGCTGGGATCACCGGGTAAGTAATAGTGAGGTTAAACGCAGGGTATTAGGGAATGATGGTAAATCAGTTGATGAGGTTGTGAATCTTCATCGACTGAGATGGTTGGACCAAGTGCTGTGTATGTCTGAACAACGATTACCACGACGTGCAATGCTAACCGGTGTTGGAGATGGTTGGAAGAAAGTTAGGGGCGGCAAAACCAAAACGTGGCATCAGTCCACAAAGTCACTAACTTCTAGTCTGAGCCATGTTGCTAAATGCAGACTACTTCGTTGGGGTCCGCATGACAATCGTAACTAATGGTTGGAGACTCTTGATGACATGGCTCAGAATCGGTCGCAATGGCTTCGGTGTATACACTCTCTGTCTTCCCTTAAACTAAGAGATTAAAATCGCTTCATATCTTTCTTTCTACCAACTAATTCTTTCTTCCTGTACTATATCCTTATTGCAATCTTTCTTTTATATATTACCATCTCTGAATTAACTACTTTTATGAATCCGGTGTCTATCTTTTTGTGTTAATGTGGTATGGCAACTTGGACAAATGCACATATGTGCCTGGTCCTACGTTAAAGGTGACTGACTGACTGAACCGGAAACCCTAATACAAAGTTGTTTTTTCTGAAAATTTGGCATTAAAGGAGGTGACTGTAAATAGGGAGTAGTATGACAACATAAAAAACTCTAATTCTTATTATTCATAAACTTACTTTGTTAAAGTGGCTGAAAACAATAAAGTTTGTCGATCAGGAGTTAAATTTTGAAGTATCACTTCTAAATCATCACGAAATGTTGGATCTAATAATCTATCGGCTTCATCTAATATAAGTAATTTTAAATTAGACATATCAAGAAGAGAATTTTCTGTTTGATGTTGAGCCATTCGACCAGGAGTTCCAATTAGAATATTTGCTCGTGATATACTATTCCATTCTTGATTTTTTAAAGCCTATAAAGAATGAAAAACAATAATAACATTGAATATTAAACAAAAATAAACTTGAAAAATCATATCCTATATAGAAAGTATACAAGTAATCTAACCAGTTAAATTCAAGTTCAATCCAGAGGTATATGGATGAAGGGTTCATGATAGATGAATGAGGTGGCTGATTAATACGGTTTTGGTTATCTATTTCTGAGAAAAAAAATTTTAATAATGCAATCCTAAGGGTACATATTTAACAGATGTAGATCATTTTAAGGATTTCGTACTTTCCGATAGGTAGTACTTTAATCACTCTTCTTTTGAAAAACATCATCAGAGGACAAACTTCTGATAGAAGTGAACTATTTCTGCTTTTCCACACACGACTAACAGTTTATTCTGTCGACTTTAATTGGCTGTTATTGATCATTGTTCTGTGATTTTTTGGACAATTATTCCTAATGATTTGATTTTCCTAGTAATCCATTTACACTAGATTTAAAAACTTTCCAAATCAAATTTTTTTTCAATGTGTATTGACACCTAAATAGTGTTCATTCAAACGAAGATAAACGAGGTTCCTACTTTGTCCGATGTAGGTGCTTATCGTAGATGGAATGGTTTAATTTATTAATTCATCCTTGGAGAAAAAGTTGTGCTCAATGACTTGACTATGATAAAAATTAATGAACTTATCAAACAAAACATTAACACGAGGATACTCAGTCACATATTTTACCAAAAAACTATCAGTTCAGTAGATGTGCTCGTACTGTAACGTGATCTGTTTATTTATTTATTTGAACACATAGATATTGGTACAAGGGGGCATCAATCAGATATGCGCCACACAAATCTCATTTGATTTGTGTGAGGGCTGGGATACTGGACGAGTGCCCAAGCAGAAGCAGGGCGTTGCTACTGCCCCGGTGCCCAAACAGAAGCAGGTAGTTTTCTTAGGAGACCACATCCGGAGCCTTTGACTTAAAGGTGTGCTCCACAAGGAAGTGGAGCAACTTAAGGAGATGCAGTCACATGGTAGCCAGTGACTAATAATTGGTTCATATGCCGTTTGTTACCTTAGGGTACTGGAGTCCATGAGCACCATTGGTTTGGAATGAGAGTTTTTCAACTCCTCTAGGTGGACTCTTCGTGTCGACTAACCCGGTTAAAACACCGGACATTCGGTTTTCGTTACAGTAATTGGTTTTTTATCTGAGGAGTAGATCTATATTATTTATTCTGATGCTAGTCCTACTGGGAACAATTTGAAATTGATAAATCGAATTAGGGAGTATTTATTTTGATTGGGATTCGAATGTCATATTGGATACATCTGAAACTCTAGTGTTGAGAGTTGCACATTTTAATCCCTAAAAGTGTATTATTCTCCTTGACATTAGAAATTTGTCATATAAATGGTCATCAACATGTAAGAATTTTAAGTTTAGAGATTTCGGTCAATCTCATCTAACCATTAAGTAGCTTTGTCATTAATGACTGTGAGAAACACTAGCTTAAAAAGTGCACTAACAGAAATTATGATAAGTCCATCCTGAGTACACAGATTTCAATAAATTGACTTTTGGAAAGAAGTAACAAAGTAAATTATGTAATTCGGTAGTTGAAAGTAGTCAACAGGAAATCTTGAACTCATCTTTCGTGCTATTTGGTATTGGTCAACAAGGTGTACCTTTGATATTGAGGGAACTGATTTTTTTCTGGAGGATTCGGTCCCGCGTTACTCAGATTCACAGTCAGAGACGTTACCACTGAGCTATTCAATTTTAAGTGTAGCTCAGTTCAATAGGAGGCTATTTGCGGCTCAAAAAGACCATTGATAACTCCTTTGACTGTGAAGCAGAGTGATGAGAGATCGAATCCGCCAAAACTCATCAATTCCCTCAATATTACAGGTACACCTTGCTGACGAGTGCCAAATAGCATGAAGATTGAGTCCAAGGTTACCTGTCGATTACCTCCAACCACCGACTTACTTCCCAACAATGTACGCGATATCGAGTCAGACTAGTGATCATATTGCAAGTCGATAGATGAAATTTGCTCAACACTAAGAAAGACTTTATATACATTACATTGGTGACTTTTCAGCAATCAATCAATTGCAAATATAAATTATCTATGAAGAACCTGTTTATATACTCGAATTTAAGCCATATTGTTTCAATGAGTACTAATGATACTGTACGGTTGCTTATGTTAAATTAAGTGGATCGAATTCAACCCTGTAACCTATTTGATAAAACACGAGTACTTCCACTATTTCACTACTATTCATACATGTAGTACTAGGATAAGTGTTATCATTCAATTCAAAAATAAAGAATAGAGAAACAAGGATCTGGGTCGAATAAATTTCGTTTACATGATAGTTAAACCCTTTTGAAATATAATACTCTCTTCTAACTTGATGATTCCTATTCGATGCACAAGGTTGAAAAACCAAACCTACCGAGACTTTGCCGCCCATAATGTTCATCATAGTGAAGTGGTGTTCACGAGCAATTTTGGCAAATACGCTGAAAATCTGTCTTGATAATTCGCGAGTTGGTGTTAAAATTATGGCGACCGGACCATCAAACATGGAAACTTTGCTTTGATGAAGAAGTTCAAGCACAGGGATTGCAAAAGCAATCGTCTTGCCACTACCAGTAGGTGCTTCAGCAACCACATCTTGTCCAAGAAGGGCAGGTTTTAAGACTAGCTTTTGAATTGCAGTAGGCTTTGTGTAACCTGACAATTTTAACCCCTTCAATGTTTCTTTAGACAAAGGAAACTGTGTAAAGAAATTGCATTTGGATGTGTCTATCTAAAATGCAGAAATATTTTAATATTGAAACAAAAACTTACACTTTGAAGACGTTCGTTAGTGGAGGACTGAGGGTTAGAGTCACGAGTCATAAGTAGGGAATTTTCGGTTTCTAAGTAATATTAGAAGTGTATGACAAATCTGTTCCGGCTACTGATTTTCAACCTACAGTCGATAATAGCAAGATGGAAATACCATGAATTAAAGTTAACTGAGCACAATAAAGTACACCAATAAGCTCAAACCAGACTAATATTTTACATGGTTATTGAATAAGATACACAACATATATTATAGAACTAATGAGCATTTAAATAAAGTGTGAGGGACAAAAATGAAGTCAAGACACATAAAACTAGAGGCAAGCATAAAAGAATAAGAAAAGAAATTAGTTCATGCGCCCCAAAACTATCCCCTTTATCGTTATCGATAACACACCCCATGAGAGTGGGATGTGTGAATTAGTTAGTTGCAGTTTGGAATTCAAAGAACAACAGCTGATGAGTGGTTTAGTCTACCTCAGTCCAAACTCTGAGGTGAATGATGTCTTGCTAAAGGGTTTCAACACTTAGTCATCGAGTGGTCTATGATTAATCTTAACAGGTCTAAATGCACCTACAGTAGACTGGGAAAATCTGAGGACTATGATGTCAGAAAATTCCTTCGAACAGAAAGTAATTGACGCAGTTATCACATATGTCCTAGTGCAACATGTGAAAGAAGCAAACAAGTAACACCTAGACTCTGAATCATCCTTACTAGACCTCATATTGGCATATTATGAGGATGACGTAACAAATCTTCATTATACGCCACCCTTAAGTTAGGGTGACCACAAAATTCTGGTCTTTGATCTCCATATTGTTGTCAACAACAATGAACTAGAGAAATGATCTGAATGGTCTAAAACTTGACAGTTATTGATAAGTGATTCTAAGTGCATTATGGTGCATATTGGTCACCAAGGTATAACTACACACACTGTGAAAAGCAGTGAGTTTTTTTCTTTATTTGAACACACATTTCTTAAATTTTTCAAATTGTTTAATTTTTAGATCATTTTAAATATAATCGTCTAAAAGACTCGTCATCGACGTGACTATATGAAAATTTTCATTTGTGACGTTTAGCATATATTAAGAAACAGACAATGTGATATTGGTTAGTAACCGGTTAGGTGAAGAATAATTAAGTCAGATCATGTGATGAATATAATAGATTTCGGTTACTCATTTAAAATAGATAGAATCATATTTCAACCTCAATCAATTTTTAAAACTTTATATTTATTTATTTTAACACATGAAAAATGGGTACAGACGGGCATTGAATACATATACGCCACACAAGTCACTTGATTTGTGTGTGTTGTGATACTGCCCGGGTGACATCCGAAGCTGGTGGTTTTCCTAGAGGGCTACACACAGAGCTTTCGACATAAAGGTCTGATCCACGAGGCAGTGGAGCAACGTAAGATGTGAGTGACCAACGATTGGTTTATATGACATTTGTTCCGTCAGGATCATGGAGCCCACGTGCACCATTGGTTTAAAATATGGGTTTTCCAACTCTCCTAAATGGACCCTCCGTGTCCGCCAACCCGGTTAGGGCACCGAACATTCGCTTTTTGTCCTTTCGATTCTGTAAACAACACCCCTGCCACGAGAAGTCAAAGTAGGACTTCCCTGACATGTTCTATATACGCGTGGCCGTGTGAGAACGGACTCCCCCCACCCTCGGTCGTACCAGGGCATTTGGGGCTTTGAATTACCTGTTGTCCAGTCACATAATGACCCAGGAGTCATTGTTAGCCAAAACTTAAAAACTACTGCACACTGCCATTCGATAGCTGCCAAAGATTTCAGAGACTTGTGGTTAATATGTAGAGCCATCAGCCCTGTCCATACTAAAAACTTTCAGAACTGTATACAGTGTTTGCATGTCTTAAACGTGATTACTGTATACAAGCGGCCAGCCTCTGACTAAAAAAGACGGTGAGTTTTTGAAAAGGGTTCAAAAAACGGCAACTAAATTGATCCAGTGAATCATAAAGCTCCCATAGGTTGGTAAACTGGCCAAATTAAAACTTCTCCCTGTGATATAGAGGGTTCAGAGGAGACTCAATTAGTTTTTAAACTACTTAGTGATAAATATGCATCTGATATACCCCAACATTTTTTGTCTTCCAAAACAGAGAATCTATGAGGACACTAAAAATGTTCACAAGCCCAGAACAAATTACTTGTCAGCTGACTATCGAATTTCCGATCGAATTATCAATGAGTGGAATTCATCAACTCAATACATGATTGAAGCTCCACTTGTCGATACTTTCAAAAGAAAGTTGGACCATCTGAAAGACCACCATTGCAAAGACTAACACAGGCCACCCAGCTTCCTTTTCTTTCCAAATTGAAACCAAAACCGCTTCATTGATAGTTTTTTAAGCTCTGGTATGTGTTATAACGGAAGTAACTAAAATGTTTAAACTTAATGCAAACAACGTCAGTGTCTATGTAGGCAGATGCATTTGCCTTTCACTCATTCATTTATTCATACTAATGAACATTTTATTTATTTTAACACATAGATATGGGTACAAGGAGGCACCAAATACATATGCGCCACACAAATCTCACTCGATATGTGTGAGGGCTGTGATACTGCCCGGATGCCCAAACCGAAGCAGGTGGTTTTCTTAGGGGACCACAACCCGAGCCTTCGACCTGAAGGTCTGATCCACAAGGCAGTGGAGCATCGTAAAGAGATGCAGTCCCATGGAAGCCGGTGGCCAACAATTGGTTCACACGCCATTTGTTCCCGCAGGATACTGGAGCCCATGTGCACCATTGGTTTGGAATCCGTTTAAAGCGCCGGACATTCGATTTTCGTGCTCTTAATTTTGTAAACAACACCCGTGGTGCGAGAACGTAGTGAGTAAGACTTCCCTGGCATAGGCTATCTACGCGTGGCCATGTGAGATCATTTGAAAAGAGAGAGCGGACTCTCCCCATTCTCGACCGTACCAGGGCATTTGGGGGCATGCTAATGAACAGAATTCAGATGTAGTTTTTTTCCGAGTTGTGGAAAAAATCCCATACGATGATCATGGACAAATCGGTATGACGAAAAACATACAAGACACTAATAACCATAATCATAATGATCCACAGATAGGCTAAAACTCATAAATAACAAATGGTAATCGTATGTAGCAACTGAGACACGTGATACGTAAGTCATTTGCATCTATCATGTTTGACTACGTGTGTTTTGTTGGAAAAATTGTGTGAATTTCGTTTTAGAATTTTTCGCTCTTTTAGCCGAACAATACTAAAAACCATATAACTAATTGGATTTGATTGCTTTTGAAATAATACTAAGATATGAGTCTGGATCATACTGAACGAAATTTGTTAATTATATGACAGACTGATTATCTGTTAATTAACTGTCTCATACAGCGAGTAACTTACATTAATGTCCTAAAGACGAGCCTGAAGTAGTCCCAACCTCTGAAACACGAGTTGTGGAGAATGACGTACTATCCAAAACCACCGGGCTTCTAAAATTGCTACATTAAGTCGCAGTTCATGTTTATTACAAAATATACTTCAAAATCTAAACAAGAAGATCCTGCTGGAGTAACGTTGTCTGTTTATTTTTTCGACACCTACATATCAAGTTTTCATGAAGTTTAAAATACTTGTTGTGTGATGTATCAGTGGTCAGTATATGTAGAGAGAACCATGGATAATATGACACGACATGACTAAATCTCTCTTAACCATTCTACACTTTATTGACTGGAAACTGGGTGAAGATCGACCCTGTTAGGATCCCTCAAGAAGTCTCAGAAGCAAACATAATCCTTGTAGTACTGTCCCAGGCAGATAATCCGGCTGCATCTGGTAACTACCGGAAGCTCTTCCAACTCATCCGAGCCACTGGCAGCAAGAAGTCTGGTGTGAGTGAAACAATCTGCGAGGATGATGGGATGCCAATCACTAACATCCATCGACGTCTTGGACGATGGGCAGAATTTTTCGAAGGGCAGTTCAACTGGCCTGCTGCTCCGGCAACATCGGTCAGACTGTCCTGCCCTCCATGGCCGGTGACGACTGATCCACCAACCGAGGAGGAAGTCCGCAAGGAACTCCAACTCTTGAAGCGTTACAAATCACCTGGCCCAGATGACTTACCTCCGGCTCTTTTTAAAGATGGTGTTGACTTTCTGACTAAGGAATTGACGACGTTGTTTACAAAGGTTTTCGAACTAGAGAGTGTACCAACGTCATGGAATGAGTCGATAGTTGTCCCTATCTTTAAAAAGGGTTCACGTCGTTCTTGTAACAACAATCGGGAGATAAGTCTACTTCCGATTGCGTCCAAGCTATTGGCTTCCGTCATACTTCGTAGGTTGTTCAAAACCCCAGAAAGATTGACTCGTGAGGAGCAGGCTGGGTTTCGTTCTGGTCGAGGATGTATTGATCATATCTTCACCCTCCGCCAAATGTTGGAACACCACCATACTTATCAAAGGCCAACAATCGTAGTGTTTCTTGACATCAGGGCTGCCTTCGATTCGTTGGACGGGACTGTTCTCTGGGATTGTCTATTGAAGAAGGGTGTGCCTGAGAAGTTCATTAATATCCTAAAGCCTCTATACACAAACACCTCAGGCAGAGTATGCTATGCGCTTTGCACCTTCGAAGTGGAGAATACTTCTACAAGACTGGCAGGATTCTAACCCTGCACTCACTCTGGATGGTGAGCAGATAGAAGTAGTCGAGAAGTTCGTGTATCTGGGTAGCTGCATAAGTGCTGGTGAGGGTGTGAGTGATGAGATCAATGCACGTATAGTGAAAGCCAGAACGGCTTATGCCAATCTGGGCCATCTTTGGCGCCTTTTTGATGTTAGGCTGGATGTAAAAGGTCGGATCTACAACGCGTCGGTGAGAGCAGTTTTGCTCTATGCTTGTGAAACCTGGCCTCTCCGAGTTGAGGACGTTAGACGACTCTCTGTGTTCGATCATCGCTGTCTCCGAAGGATTGCTGACATTCAGTGGCAACACCATGTCAGTAATGCAGAGGCTCGGCATCGTGTGTTCGGGCACAGAGATGATAATTCAATTGGTGTCACCATTTTGAGACACCGACTTCGGTGGCTTGGACATGTTCTACGAATGTCGTCCTAGAGAATTTCACGTCGTGCATTGTTTGCCGACTCTGGAACTGGTTGGAAGAAGCGGAGAGGTGGTTAGTGCATGACATGGTGTCGTGGTATGAAAGAAAGCTGCAAAGGACTGGCTTGTGTTGGTCCTTCACGACTCCCTGGTTGGGGTCTGAGAGATGGTGCAACACAGTGGCTAGAGACGTTATCAGATATGGCTCAGAATAGAAGCCAGTGGCGATCCTGCTGTAACCTTCTTTTACTTTCTTCATAAAAAGTGGTTGTGTCTCCTTTACCTGAAAGATTTCTTCTGATTGTACTTTTCTGCTCCCCATTTGTACCACTATTATTATTACACCACCTTACATCAATCTCTTCGTAATTATTCTCTCTTGTTTTCCTTCTCCTTAAATTCTCATTGTTTTTTGTGGCGCATATATAGTTTGCGCATTCTTGTACCAATACAAGTTTGAAGCTGTGTTGAGACTCCGAGAAAATGGGTTTCACGAGGAGGCCGTTTCGAGGTTTATCAGTAACTAGACTCTTCCTCATTGGTACCTCCTTTATGTAATGGTACATATATCCATTTAGAGTCAGAATGTAGTTTATCCCTGGCTAAAGAACCTAAGAAACGAGTATAAAAATGGAAGGTAATAAGGTCGGCGTATTCTCAATGGGTTGCTAGTTCAATACTTATTCAAAGGCCTTGGAATATCTTTGAATTTTAGAAGTTTGAACTTTGAAAAGTGCAATGCGAAGAGTATTTCTGGACAGAAGTATTACAAACCGGAGGTCATCGGATTGAAATTTCTCAGCTGACAACCAATTAACCAAAATATTACAACTATATGTTCTTAAGAAATCTAGATCCAGGATAGTTGACGTGGTATATGGCATCTTCTTCATAAAGTTGTATAAAGAACTATATTTATTTTCTACAGGATACATAGGACGAGAGTGATGATTTGTTCTACCCCCATATATATATTGAGTTCAAGAATTACTTAAAACCCTGTATGGCCAGTCGTCTGTGCAACTGGAAGTAAGCCATTCTTTTCAGAAAACATGCCTGTTCCTGATAAGTCCGCGAGAAACAAAACTTTAGGCAGTTGGATTATCTTGGTGTTTACATTTATCACCAGTCCAGGAGGTTAGCGACCTGCGGAACGTAGGACATTTTTGAGGGGGGCCCGCCGTTCGCCAACCCTTTTGAGGCCTTCTCTAACAGCAGTGTAACCAGTTTAGCGAATGATTTTCTATGTAGTCCATTCATCAGGTAAGCCACTTGCAGTGAGGCAGAATGATGTGGGGGAATTATCATTTTGAAATAAGAGGTTCATTACTAGTCGATCACTAAATTCCGATAAGTGATTGATGGAGATGTGATACAGCCTAGTAACGGTTCGTTAGGTTCCTCCTAGATATACTGGACTATTATTCTTGAAAATTTGAACTTTTAGTTCTGGTACTTAATATGATATTAATCATCTGAAGATCCTGATCTAAAGAGTGGGGATTTACAAATCGAAATCATCCATTGATAATTTCTCGGAGAAATTTATTTCCAGAGCTCCTCTGTGTGCCTGAAGGAATGAACTAATCCGAAAGTAACAGTCTCCAGGTAATCCAAAAACTACACCTATCGGACAAGAACTGTAAGTACTCTTCAAACTATACCTTAAGGTATGAGAGTGACTTATCCTAGGAGATAAGATTTTGTGAGTCTCGAGAGAGGTAGGTCTGTAAAACAAGGCCGACAACTAAAAGTGTCAGATCTATCTTTAAGTAGCGGCCAGAAAGCGTCGAGAGATAGTTTGCCTTTTGTGATGTCACTAGTAAGCCAAGTTTCCCTGGAACGCATTATACTTGCTCTATTCATTTACTAATTTTTCAACTTTAACCTACTTACATTATCGCATGAGCAGATAGTAGGAAAGGAAGAAATTCAGAGTTGGACGAATATGAGGCTATTCACACCGAGAAGGGTGTCGGTAAATGCCAAATCGGCCTTTAGCGGGTTGGTTTCCATGGGTGTATCGTGGTGTTGAGGTTCCATTGATCAGTATGAGTTGTGACAATCAAGCCGGGGTCATCGGAAGTAACTGGAAAGAAGTAGATGTCGAGCTCCTTGATAGTGAGTTGTTCACTAACAATTTGCGGGATGGATGGGGGAACTTTTTTTAGCTTTACGATAAGTCGCCTGGTAAGTCTCAGTCTGCCCTCACGAATCACAAGGACTTTCGAGAATGTTCAAGATTTATCATACCAAAATTCATGCGTGGCTGTCACTGTATGAGGAGTGTCTACTGTTATGTTGAATCAGCCAGATATTGGGCAGGATAATCTATTCGAAATGGACCACCATCGGTCTACCTCAGGAATCAGGCTAACTTCAATAGATTTAGTTAAAAATTCAGAGTCCTTCTGCACTATAATTAAACATTTTCAGCACCCTTTGTTCAAGCAAGAATGACACCTGAGTGGTCACACAACTGACTATGGTTCATCAGGTTGCATCCTAATGGTAGAGTTCGCTTGTAAATAATAAATGAGTACTCTGAAGTATCAAGTCTATCTAATATGGTTTTAAATTCCATACACTGATATCAGAAATACTTCTGAAGATAGACTATTGAGGATCAGAAACATAACTGTATGTTGGCCTTCCTGACTACAGCTGATAAAATCCCCATCACAGGAAGGCTAATTATACTGAACAGAAATGCTTTAGAATGTCAGGTTACTCCTCGTACTTTTCCTTTGCGATTGAGACATTGAACCTGAAAAGTTTGGGATTAGTTTTCAGTATACCCGGGAAGAGATTTGAGAGCTGATGTGTTAGACTAACATCTTCAAAAATGAAATCACATAAGCTAGAACTGGTTTTTGTACCAATTTTTGATCCTCCAATATAAACATGAGTACAAGTCCTCGTGGAATGAACCTTGAAATTACTCCATGTAGTTCCCTGGAAGCTAAGAGGGATAACAGGAGCGGCACACAGTGACCGAAATGTGAGTACGTTGTCTGAGTGCAGATCATCCACCAAACTAGTTTATTAGATGAGGCTTAACTAAGCTCTACGGCATAATGCACGAAGTCATTTGAAGCCACTGGTATCTAATTATATCAGAACACAAACTTTGTGCCTATTTACTAGAGTTCTAAGATAAAAACCTATTTATATTAAAAATACAAAGTACTTTGATAGTTCAAAGTTGCCCTGACGCAAATAGCGTCTAAGAATCTACAGGAATACTTTCAGCAAAACCTGATAAGTTGTACAAAACGGGTTCAAGAGAAGAATATTTAGAAATAGAAAGTTACGGTTATACGAATCATGATCAGAACTTAAAACTTAGGGAAAGGCGAACGACTGATAATTCTTTTACGCAATGAGGTCGTTTGAAATACAGACCTAGATTCAAGGAGCAGGAACTGCTGGAAAGGTCTTTATAGCATACTGCACAGATGACGTTACCAAATGGCGTTTATTTGTGAATATGCATAAACGAAG